CCCAGCACTGCAGGGGGGTCTCCCCAGAGTGGGGCAGAGGGGCAGCATCCCACCCTGCCCTGCTGCCCACGCTGCTGGGGGGGCAGCCCAGGCTGCCGGGGGCTTCTGGAGTGTGATCACCGAGGGCCGGCTCCTGGCCAGCCCCTCACCCATAACACCACCAGGTCCTTCTCAGGGCTGCAATCCATCCCATTGGCAAGCAGAGTCTCCTGCAGCTGGGGAGAAATAACCCCATACACCAGGACTTGTGAGGGGTTGGTCAGCTGTAAAGCAGCTCCACAGAGAAGGACCTGGGAGTGCTGGTGGACATCAAGTTGCCCATGAGCCAGCAATGGGCCCTCAGGGCCAAGAAGGCCAAGGATCTTCTGGAGTGCAGGAAGAAGAGTGTGGCCAGCACATCGAGGAAGGTTCTCCTCTACCTCTATTCTGCCCTAGTGAGGCCATCTCTGGAGTATTGGGTCCAATGCTGGGCTCCCCAGTTCCAGAGAGACAAGGAACTGCTGGAGAGAGTCCAGCAGAGGCTGCAAAGATGCTGAGGGGCTGGAGCATCTCTGTGCCAGGAAAGGCTGAGAGCCCTGGGGCTGTTCAAACTGGAGAAGAGAAGTCTGAGAGGGGATCTGATCAATGCTGATCAAGAGCTAAAGGGCCCCTGGGGGACAAGAGGCTGGGGCCAGACTCTTGTCAGTGGTGCCCAGCGACAGGACAAGGGGCAACAGGCACAAATTGGAAACCAGGAGGTTCCATCTGAACAGGAAGAGAAACTTCTTTGCTGTGAGGGTAGCAGAGCCTGGAGGAGGCTGCCCAGAGAGGTTGTGGAGTCTCCTCCTCTGGAGAGTTTCCAAACCCTCCTGGATGTGATCCTGGGCACCCTGCTGCGGGTGAGCTGCTGGAGCAGGGGGGTTGGATGGGATGATCTCCAGAGGTCCCTTCCAACCCCACTATGCTGGGATTCTGTGCTTATTCCTTATTTGTTGTGAGAATGCCTCTTTTATTAAAATCTAGTGTAGAAAAGCTTGAAATACGCTACAGACAGTCGAATTGCTTTAATCCCTACCCCTCTGGGGTCTGGTTGCACCTTGGAGCAGGCAGGATCAGGGAAACCGGAGAGCCTTTTGCATCCCAAACCCCCAGCTCTGCGCGCTGGTTGTGTGCTGCGGGTGTGAGTAGAGGCTCTTGGCACAAGGGGGCAGGAAGAGTCAAGTTCCTCTCGTCGTGCTTTGTTGCCGTGCTTGTAAGATCCAGTTTTAGCAAGGAAAGGGGGTTGGAAAACTGTTCAGGTCGCTTGGCTTCCACCTGGAGTCGTGCCACGGGAGAGCTGGCCAAGAGATGTCCTGGGTTGGATTCAGCCTCTCTGGTGCTTGTGTGGTGTCAAAATCTGGAGGGTGAAAGCAGCTCTGCAGTTCCGAGCTCCTTCTTTGGGAATGGTTGAAAGACCATCAGAAGGACGTGTGGGTCTCCAGTACAGGGGAGGAGACCCAGTGTGGGGCAGAGGCCTGAACCTCTGCAGCCTGCCTTTTGCTGTGTGAGTGGAGTCCTGTGCCATCTTCACCCAGGACCTCTGGCAGTGGGGGAGAGCTTGGCAAGGAGCTTTACATGCTCAGTGCAGGGAGAAGGGAGCCTCAAGGTGCCCAGCCCCTCAAATGATGCCTGATGATGTCTTTGCAGAAGGTTCTCCAGCCTCCCAGCCCTGCTCCCCACCTTCCCTGCCACCTCCACTAACTGTGTCTCCTTTTTATCTGCTCCAGGCTCTCTGGATGCATCTGGTGACTCCAACTTCAGCAACAGTAGTGTCTTCACAGTAACCAGGTAGGGGCTGCTCCTTGCTTCAGGGGGGCTTGAGAAGAAGGGAAGGCTTCTTGGCATACAGACAACAACTGACAGATGCTGACAAAGCTGGCAGGAAGGATGGGCGGAGCTGGAAAGCAGTTGGGGTCTTCTGGGTCACAGTTGGGTGGATGACTGAGGGTGCTGTAGGAGTTGTCTGCTTCTTTTTGATGCATTTGTGACTTTATGGTAAACTGAGGTGTTTTGTTCCTGCCAGGAGAGCTTGTAAAGCCCCCAGGCAGGTCTGCTGTGGCAGCAAGCATCTGTGCACTCAGGATTCTGCACCTTGCCTAGCTTCATGCCCCCAGGTTGGGCACTCTGCCTAAGAGATAGGTGGGTAGGTGGTTGTCTTGGTTATGGTTCTTCTAGCTCAGCCAAACTAAGAAGTGTTTGGTTCCCTCATGGCTTTGCAGAGGAATGGGGCTGGAGGAACAGTGTTGTGCTGCTCTGCAGGAGGGCAGAGACCTCATGAGAAGGTCTCCGGGGCTGGCAGAAGAGCTTGGAGAGCACTGACCCTGCTTCTGGGCACTGCAGCCCTCTGTGCTGCTGCCCACCAGGGCCTGGTCCTGCAAGGCTGCACCTGGGGACATGCTGTCCAGCTCCAGCTGAGGTGTCTCGGCAGATCTTCTGCGAGCCTGTCCCCTGCCAAACTGAAGTGGCATTGGTCAGCCCTGCAGAGAGCAGCTCCGTGCCCAGCACGATCTCTCCCAGTGTCTGATCTGCATCATAGAATTCCAGACTGGTTTGGGCAGGAAGGGACCTTGGAAGGTCCTTTGAGTCCAACCCCCCTGCAGGGAGCAGGGACATCTGCAGCTAGAGCAGGTTGCTCAGAGCCCTGGCCAACCTCACCTGGAATGGTTCCAGGGATGGGGCAGTGACCACCTCACCGGGCAACCTGGGCCAGGGGCTCACCACCCTCAGTGTCAAACATTTTTTCCTTCTCTCTAGTCTCAATCTCCCTCTTTTTGTTTCAAACCATCCCCCCTTGTCCTGTCCCAATAGGCCCTGCTCAAGTCTGTCCCCAGCTTTCTGACAGGCCCCTGGCAGTCCTGGCAGGCCCCCAGAAGGTCTCCCCAGCTGGAGCCTTCTCCTCTGCAGCTGCCCAAGCCCAACTATCTCCTGCTGGACTCCCAGCAGAGGGGTTCCCCACTCGGGTCATTGCTGGGGCTCCTCTGGCCCTGCTCCAACAGGTCCATATCTCCTGCAAATATGTTCCTGCCCATTCAGCTGAACCTGGAGACAAATCCATCTGCTCCTGTAACACCCCTTTTCCTTCTCTCCTCTCCTTCTCTCCTCTCCTTCTCTCCTCTCCTTCTCTCCTCTCCTTTTCCTTCTCTCCTTTTCCTTCTCTCCTTGTCCTTTTTCCCCTCTCCCTCTCCCTCTCCTCTCCACATCAGAACTCATCGCAGACCAACACAAGCCTTAGCATTTCAGGCTGCTGATCTGGACTCCCTGATTTTTTTGCACTCCTGCAAAGCTCAGCTGCTCCCTCAGCCCGGCGATGCCCTTCAGGTTTTTGCTCTCTTGAACCTACAGCTCTTCTCGTTTGCACCCAGATTTCAGTTTGCGTCTGTGAAAGGGTTTTACCAGCTTTCCTGGGATTGCTGCATCCTGGCCTTGCTCAGCCCTTCAGGTTCAGCAGGTGCAGGAGTGCATGGGGCTGGAATTGGGAAGGGGATGGAAAAGTCTATGAGGAGAAGTGATAACTGCAGCTCTGTGCCTACAGAAGAACTTGCACCAGTGTGGAGGTGGTTCTTCAGGTCTTTCACCAGAGTGAAGACCAAACCAGGGGATAGAACAAGGAGAGCTGGAGTGACTTGGTCACAGAGCCAAGAGGGGAAGGGCTGCCCAAGCTGGAGCAGGTTGCCAGCTCCCCACGTGCCAGGGAAAATCACTCAGGACAGCAAGTGAGACCCATCACCTCTCCAAGAGACCTGATTTTGCAGAGGAACAACTTCTTGAGTCCTCCCCCACCCTTTGAAACTGCAAACTCCAGGTTTTATCTTTGAATCTCAGCTGCCTGCACACTGAGTGCCCACTGGGTGTCAAGACAGGACTGCAGGAAGCTGTTGTGTTGCCTTGGAAAGCTTGAAAGAGGAGACAGCTGCCTTTGAAGATGAGGAAGAATTTGTTTCCTGCCAGAGTGGTGAGGCATTGGAACATGCTGCCCGGGGAGGTGCTGGAGTCACCACCCCTGGAGGGGTTCAAAGAACGTGTAGATGTTGCACTTGGGGACATGGTTGAATGGTCGAGGTAGTGTTGGGTTGCTGCTTGTACTCGATGATCTTCAAGGTCTTTTCCAACCTTCATGATTCTATGAGGTCACTCTTCCCTCGTGTTTTTGTTGGTTCCCCTCCTCCACCACTTCCCCCGATCTCCTCTGGCGGGCGAGTGCTGGAGTGTGGCCCGGTGCCAGGGGTCCAGCTCTCACGGCCCCTTCTCCTGCACTCCCCACTGGCCATCTGCAGAGGGAGGGCACTGCAGCAGCAGCAGCAGCAGCAGCAGGAGGAGGACCCAGAAGCACACAGCCTGCTGTCCGCAGAGGGATGTCTTCCATGTCCAAGAAGATGACAAGGTCTGAATGCTCCATAGATGGATGCTGGGCATGTTCCTGTGGCCACAAACTGACGCACACGTCCTCCCCCAGCTCTTAAAACATCCTGTTGGTGATCCAGAATGGCCACTGCCAGCCTCACTTGGAGGGAGCTTCCTGGTGGCATTCGGTAGGAGATGGGGGCTGTGTCTGTGCCAAGAGTGAGACTTGCTCCCAGGGGAGCCTGGCTTCTCAGGGCTCCAGTGGGGGGTCCCCGATTCCAGCTTTTCCAAAAAAAAAGACCCTCATTGGAAGTGGTCCAGAAGCATGTTTTGGAGGTGCTGGAGCTTTCCTGTGGCCTAGCTACCCCCACCAGTGCTGGGGTCCGGAAGGGGAGGTGGAAACGTGGCTGCTGGAGCACAGCCCAGGCTTCCTTCCGCCAGGCAGAGCTGCTGCAGGAGAAGGTGCAGATGTCCCTCCTGCGTCGCTGGTCCAAAACAGCTGGAAAGCACCTTTAAGGCTCTTGTCATTGCATCGGAGTTTCAATACAGGGTGTGGACACTTGGAGACCAGGGAAAGCTCCCTGGGGCAGCAGAAACCCTTTGTGTGTCCAAGAGACCTGGATTTGCAGAGAGATTTCTTCTTGAGCTCTCCTGTGCCTGTGAGGATGGGGCCAGACTCTTGTCAGTGGTGCCCAGAGAAAAGAGAAGGTGCAACCAACTGGAACCCAGGAGGTTCCATCTGACCAGCAGGAGAAACTTCTTTGGTGTGAGGGTGGCCGAGCCTGGAGCAGGCTGCCCAGAGAGGCTGTGGAGTCTCCTCCTCTGGAGAGATCCCAAACCTGCCTGGATGTGATCCTGGGCACCCTGCTGTGGGTGACCTGCTGGAGCAGGGGGGTTGGATGAGGTGATCTCCAGAGGTCCCTTCCAACCCCACCATGCTGGGAACCTGTGAGACAACTTCCTAACCCTACTGCCAGCTGCGCGGGTTAGATGCATGGCAGTTGGACAAGGGTGAGGGGACCACAATCCCACAACAAACTCGATAAGGGACATGGGGACTCCAGAAGAGCCTTTGGGGTCCTTCTTGAAGGCTTCTTGATTTGGGTAGTGTTCAGCAACATCATGGACACATAAAGCTGCTCATTGCTCTGCAGAAGGGGCAGGCAGCTGCTACGTGGCCAAGCCACCCAAGGCTGTGTTTAAATCAGACTTTTAAACCTAGTAGTTAGGGCTCGGTGCAAAGCTACAATTGCTGCTGTGTCTCTGCTGCTGGAAGTTCCCATAGCCCCGTGCCCAGGGCCCCACATGCCTTGGGGGGTGCAGCTGGGGAGATCCTCAAGGTGGATTGAGGAGGATAGGGATGGTGCTGAGTGCCCCCCAGCACCCAGGGAATGGTTGGCCAAAGGCAGCGTGGTGCCTCACTTTGACCTCGTGCCCTAAACCTGCCTTGGAGTCCTGTTCTCCAGCTCCTTGCCTGGTGGAGTCTGCCTCACTGCAGCTTCCATGTGTCCTGTTGGAGAGGAGGACCCTGCCTGACCTGGAGTGAGATGAGTTCCCCTCCTTGCTCCTACTGGATGAGCTGTAGGGGGAACCTTGGTTACGCAGCCCCAGCCCTTGCCATGGTGATCATGATGAGCACGGTGATTTGCAGCTCATTGGACTGGATGTCTCTGCCTAGACCTTGGTCTCATCGCGTCCCCGGGAGATCAGGGAAGCTGCTCTGTACTTGGATCCAGTCCTTGGAAGCCACAGGAAGCAGAAGGAAGCCAAGAGCACCGAAATGAGAGCGCTGGAGGAGGAGAAAGCGACAGCTTGTGGGCCCAAGAGCAGAGAGGAGCTGCTGACCTCCTGGCCGCTGGCTGGAGCCCGTCGAGCGGCACAGCTGCCAACCCGTATGGGAGCTGCCCTTGTGACTTGGACCACAATGAAAGGACCTAGATATTTCCACCCTTGGCAAGGCTGCTTGAAGGCTAGAGCTTGGCCTAGACCTTAACCTTGTCTGAAAACGGGGTCAGGAAAGCAGCTGGGCCAGGCAGGAGGCCAGCGGGGAGAGGACAGCTCAGGCGTTGGCAGAGAAGAGGTGCCTGCTGAGGAGAGAGATGGCAGAAGCCATCATTTGAGACATGAGAAAATGAGCAGATAAGGGATGTGGGGTGGAAGATGTCCCTGTAGTGGGAAGGTGAGCTCTGTTCCCATGCTGGAGGATGCTTTGGGCAGGGGGGGATGTGGTGGGAGGGGTGGACCTCCTTGGCACATGTGGGAAAGGGATGGCTGGTGAGGAGCTTTGTCTGGCCACCAGTCCTTCTAGCAGGAGCTGAGCCCAGCAGAGCTGTGGGGTGGTGGCACCTGTAGTACCCCTGTAGTACCAGCAAGGAGCTGGTGGGTGTGATGCCATCAAGGCCACCTCTGAACCAGGCAGCTTCACACACCACTTCTCTGCGCCCTCGTTTTGGCCACTTCCCTCTGAAAACACCCAGCACTCTGAGGGGCTTTTCCCCCACCCCACGTGACGGGTATTTTGTCGTGCAGATGTCATCAGGTCAAGGATTCCTGCTCCTCTTCCCTCAGGAGCCCCATGACAGGTGGGTGGCAGGCTGGGCTACTGCAGGAACACCAGCTACAGTGTTGGACACCTGAGATGCTGCTCCCTTGGACAACCCCTCTGCTAAATCCCCCGGGGAAGATCAAATCCTATCAAGCTGCAGCAAATTACACCATGAGAAATGTGCCCCTTTGGATTCCTCAGCAGAGGAGACACAGAGCAGATCTTTACACGCTGGAAAAATCAGCCAGAGCTTGGTCCAGCCTTGAATAATTCAGGAGTTTGGGTAGGACAGGAGTGACTTAGCTCTTCAGTGCAGCTCCCTCTTGGAGGTCATCTCAGCTCCGACCATCTCAGCTCCAACTGTCTCTTTAACCAGGTCTCCTTTGACACATACTTCCCACGTCATTGCTGTTGAGGAGGTGAGAAACCTCCACAAACAGGACAAAAAAAGGCTGTAAAGTGTCCTCTTCTGCTTTGGGGTCTCCTGTCCCAGTGTAGTTCCCAACTATTTGGGGAAAAAACATGGAGTTTTTCACCACAGTAAGAGCTACATGTTTGGAGGCTGTTGGTGTTACAGAAGAGACAACAGACTTCTGTTCTGAGGTGAACTGGAGGAGTTCTTTGCTTTCATCCCTGGTTCGTGAACAAGAGTTATCCTCATCTTTTTGGATGGCTTTTGGGAAAGAAGGTGATGTTCTCAAGACAGCCTCGTAGCAGAGAGCTGCAGCCCAAAAACCCAGCCTGCCAAGGCACCACTGCAGTCCACAGGTAGACTCTTCTGGGATTAGTGGAAACTGGATGCCCTCACCTGGTTGGATGGCCCCAACTAGTGGAGTTTGAGGACGCATGGGTTGATGTTCTCTGGAGATGTTTGAGCTGGTCAAACTTGAGTTGGTTTCTGGGTGCATTTTATGGCTTTCTAGTCTTTGAACCTCAAACCTGGTGCCTACAATGTGGACCAGTTTCTCAACACAGCCATTGTACTGGAGTCATCTAGCAGGTCTTGTCCTGGGTAGGTAGCAGCTGGTTTGGTCAGGTGGTGAACCTCCCAGCCTGGAAGGTTTCTGTTGGCTTCCAAAGCAAGTTTTTGGTGTGCTGCTGCCTCTCATTGTGCTCCCCCATCTCATAATGCCACTCAGAAGCTACCTGGGCCAACCTGGCCATGCCCAGCTGTGTCCCCATGAGCTGAGGTGGTTGCTTGACCCTTGCAAGCCTGGAACTTGCATCCTGGCTGTCATAACTCTTGGAAGGCATAAGCACACTTGTTGGGTTTGCCATAAGCAGATCTGGAGGCACAGAACAAAAATGTGGGTGGCCAAGCTAAGTGGGGCAGGAGCAGGCCAAGGGGTTGGTTGAGGTTTCTTAGGGCTTGAGCTGAAGTGTTTGGTGCCTGCACAAACCTTGTAGATCTCTCCACTGTGGGAGGAGTGAGTTGGACATGCCAGCGCTGAACCAGCCTCTCTCCTTCCCATGCAGCTCCGAGAGGATCCAGGTGACCCTGAACCTGGATGGAATAGTTCAGGTGCTGGACTGCCACCTTCACGACATGTCATCCATTGGGATGATGACCAGAATCGCAGTGCTGAAGTGGCTCTACCACTTGTACATCAAGACTCCTCGTAAGGTAGGTCAGGGACTCAGCGTGTGGGACTGAGCTCGTCCACCCCCAGCCTGCTCCTTACCCCAGAGTTGGCTGCAGTTATCTCAGCAGTGTTGCAACCAAGTGTCCACCTGCCTTTTCTGAGAAGGCTTTGGCTGCTGCACTCCCAGTAGCTTAAGAGAGAAGGGCTCTCCAGCTCAGGTGGAAAGTCCTGGTGAAGCTTTGGGCAGCCTCCCCAGAGGGAGGGGTCCTGTGGCAGGGGGTGACCAGGCCTGTAGGGCTGATGGCATCTGTCTTTCTGATTCTAGATGTTCCGACACACCGACAGCCTCTTCCCCATCCTGCTGCGGACGCTCTCAGACGAGTCAGATGAGGTGAGTGCTGCAGAAGTCCTCCTGAAAGATTACTACCTCTACATCTGTCTGGGCTTTGGATTTTTTGGGTTGAACTGAGGGATTTTATGAGGCTTGGTCAGTATTGGCACTGGGGGGCTTAACCTTGTTGTCTGAACTGAAGACCTTGTAGTCTTCTCCCAAGGGACAAGTGATAGGACAAGAAGAAACAGCCTCAAGTTGCACCAGCCGAGGTTTAGGTTGAACATGAGGAACAATGTCTTGATTAAAAGGGTTGTCCAGACCTGTCCCAAGGCAGTGGTGGAGTCCCCACCCCTGGAGGGGTTTCCAAGCCGTGGAGATGTGGTGCTGAGGGACACGGGTCAGTGGGGACCTGGCAGTGCTGGGTTAAGGGTTGGACTTGATGATCTTCAAGGTCTCTTTGAACCAAGCCAATTCTGTGATGGCTGGTTCTTGGATGGGAGCCTGGCAGCTCTGACACAGAGCTGGCCCAGGCTCTGGTGGCACATCTGCCATCAGCTGGCTGCCTCTTGGCCAGTTTCTCAGCCCAGACCTTCCTCGTGGAACTAAAGTGAGGTGCTGGCCACCTTGCTGGCCACCCTCGGGGCATCAAACCCCAACTCCACCTAAACCCCAGGAACGAGGGGGCTGCTGAGAGAGGAGGGAAGGACTTGCAAAGGCAAATGACCACCTGGCTGTTCTCCATCCCCTGCTGCTTATGCTGCAGACCTTTCCAAAAGAGTCCCCAAGCAGACATCTGCCTCTGGAAAGCTGCATCTGGCTGATAGTCTCTCCAGCTTGGCAGGAGAGCATGGTGAGTCATGTTGCAATTACACTGCTTATTAATATTTGAAAAAAAGCAGTGAAGAAAGGACTCTAGTGATGCGTTTCCTTCACGTGACATCACTGGGAATGGCTCAAAAGTCATTTTAAGCTGATTTATTTAATCCTGTCTTCTATTTATTTAAATGTTGGGAGGGTTTTGGGTGGGCTTTTTTTTTTTTTTCCCCCTAAGGAAATCCATAGATGAGTGGATCCATTAAACACTATGGCTCAGCTAGCTCTCAACCAGCTTTGCTGCTCTCTGCAGAGGAAATAGAAACAACCAAAAATAGGAGAAGGGGGGCTTGGAAATGGGAATTTTTTGGACCGATGAGGACAGACTGAGCTGGAGGGTTCTGCACGTCGTGTGGTGGAGCACGAGGTGCACACACATCTGCAGGGGGGTTCTCTGCTGGCTTCATCCTGCCCCCCGACCAAGGGAACCTGGGTGGGCAACAGTGCTGGTTGCATCTTTCTTCCCAGGAAGGTTGAATGTTCTGGTGTGGCGCCTGCTGGTCCCCAAGCATGGTTTGGAGGGAGGCTGTCACTGTCCTGGTGCTCCCTGAAGCTGTCCTGGAGCGGTTGTTTCTCACTAGCTCATCACTGAAGGAGAATCTGGCTTTGGAGGGTCAGGGCTTTGCATCAGGCTGAAAGTTTGTGCTCAAGGACATTTTTACACACTTGAGGGACGGGATCCAACCAGAGGGACCTGGACAAGCTTGAGAGGTGGGCCCGTGTGAAACTCATGAGGCTCAACGAGGGCAAGTGCAAGGTCTTACCTCTTGGTTGGGGTAACCCCCAGTTATCAGCCCAGGCTGGGGGTGAAGGGCTGCAGAGAAGGACCTGGGGGTGCTGGGGGTGAGGAGCTGGCCAGGAGCTAGTCTAGGGAGACCCCCTTGCAGTGCTGGGACAGCTCTGGAGTCCTCAGCACAGCAGAGACAGGGACCTGCTGGAGCAGAGCCAGAGGAGCCCCAGCAATGACCCGAGGGGGGAACCCCTCTGCTGGGAGCCCAGCAGGAGAGAGTTGGGCTGGGGCAGCCTGCAGAGGAGAAGGCTCCAGCAAGACCTTCTGGTGGCCTTTCAGTGCTTCAAGGGGCCTGTCCGAAAACTGGGGACAGACTTTTGAGCAGGGCCTGTTGGGACAGGACAAGGGGGGATGGCTTGAAACTAGAAGAGGGAGAGCTAGGCTAGCGAGCAGGAAGAAATGTTTGGCACTGAGGGTGGTGAGACCCTGGCCCAGGCTGCCCAGAGAGATGGTGGATGCCCCATCCCTGGAACTATTCCAGGTGAGGTTGGCTGGGGCTCTGAGCAACCTGCTCTAGTTGGGGATGTCCCTGCTCCCTGCAGGGGGTTGGTCTGGATGGCCTTGAAAGGTCCCTTCCCACCCAAACCACTCTACCATTCTACGATTCTGTGGTTCTTTTAAAGCTCTGGTCTTGCTGAGCTGATTCAAATCTCTGTGTGCACTTGCTGTGAGTAATGAAGCCCGAAGCAAGACAAGACTCCTGCTGGATGGAGCCAGATCTGTGTCCTTTCAGTTGCCATGCCTGCTCGTATCCTCCAAGCAGCACAAGGTGTTGCACCACCTCCACCCAGCTGAGCAGGGGCCACTATCTCACAACGCATCTGCAGCGTCCTGAGTCATCTCTGCCTTCTCTGCTCTTCCCCTCCCTACCCAGCTCTCCTGAGCTAGTGAAGAAATGGTCCAGAGCCCTCGTTAAGATTCAGGAAGGCAGCTCAGGGAAGTTGGAGCCGAGCTGAAGCAAGCAGCTCCCTTTGATATGTAGACAAGCGGGGATGGAGGGTTCCTGGCTGTCAGCTGCTGTGCTGCTGCACTGCGTCACCTCGTGCTGCTTCCCCCGGCGGGGAGAAGCTCCCTCCTGGGTTTGAAGACAACCTTTCAAAGGCTGCCTTTTTTTTTAAAAGAAAAAATTTATGGGCTTAAAAACTTCCATAGAGCTCTGAGACTCTCAGGAATCCTGTCGGGAGTGGTTTTTTGTTTTTTTTTTTTCCTCCTTTTGTCTTGCAGCACTGACGCCTGGCTGAAGAGCCATTGGAGAAGGTGAAAAGCCCAAAGCCCAAGTGCTTTTTGGGAGCAGGGGTTTGGACCTTTCCACCTGCAGGTCAATGGCATTGCTGGAAAGACACCTTGTTCTTTGGGTTCCTCCCCTCTGCAAGCTCCTGGTGCAAAGGCAGCTTCTGGTGGGATGCAGCTCCCAGGGTCCTTCCCAGCAGGATCAGGGTGCTGAGCTCAGGTGGACGCGGCAGGCAGTGAGGGAGTCTCTGAGAAAGCCAGGGATGCTGCTGGATTTCTCTGTGGGCTTTGTTTTCCTTCCCCCAGCTCCAAGTGGAGCTGTTTTCTTTGCGGCGGAACGTGTTCCTGTTGGCTTATCTGCTCCTCTGGATCTCACTGGAGGTTGGAAGTCGCGCTGGGACTTTTGTCTGACTCACGCAGGGATGACGCACGAGGTGGAGAGGCTGATGTGAAGCAGGACAGGCTCCAGCTTCCTCTCCATTCTGCAGCGGCCGGGCAAGGCTTTGTGTACACCGAGAAGATCCAAACGCTTTCTTAGCTCGCTGCTTGGAGCCGTATCTCCTGGAGCAGCCTGAGGAGTCTCCTCCTGGCACTGGGCAAGAGTTGACACGCTGCCCTAGAGAGGGTTGGCTGCTGCCTCAGGGGGAGGTCATGGCAGATTTCAACATCTCTATGACCTTCAAGCCAACTTCTCCATGAGAAGCTGAAACACTTTGCCCCTCTCTGAGGGCTTCCAGATTTAAATGAGGAGAGGAGGAACCCCAGGTATGGTGGTGTACGGGTATGGGTCTCTCTCCTTTGCTGTTAACTCCTGCGTGTCCTGCTGCATATCCGCAGGGTTTTGAAGCCCACCTCTGCCCAGCTCTCTGAGCTGTGCTGCCTCACTGACTCTCGTTGAACTTCTCCAGTTTCCAGTACAATGAAGCTGAAGGAACACTTGAGCCAAAGCGAGCAGCTCTCTTAGCATGGTTTGGTTTGGAGCTTGGCTCTGTTGGTTTTAAGGCCATCGTGCTTCAGCTCCCAGCCTTTAATTCCCCACGGCCAAAATATTGTGACCCCACACAAAGCAGAACTCAACTCTATGTATGCTTGGCTTTTAATTTCTTCTTTTTTTTTTTTTTTGGTGGTAAAGCTTCTGCGGATTAAGACTGAAAGCTAGAGGATAGCAAAGTGGGGTGGCTGCTCCTTGTGGAAGGGGAAGATAACGTAGAGGGTGAGCTCAGGACTGAAATGGTGGGGTGGAGAGAGAAGTCTGTAATTTCAGCTGGTTGGTGGAAGATGTGGTCAGCCCAGCTTGCCCTACGTGGAAGGAGCCTGTCAGCAGAACTCTTGAAAGCAGGGTGGGGTGATGCTTTCTCCAAGGACTCGAGGGGGTTATGAGGGCACTGGGTTGAAAGATAATCTGCAAGACTAGGAAGTTTCTTGGGAGGAGAGTGATCCACAGGGAGGCTATTGGCTCAGCACCACTTCTGGAGCATATGTGCGTGGCCTGCCTATGCATAGGTGTCTGCAGTTTGTGGGATGCTGGGTGGTCAGCTGGCTGTCCAGGCTCAAGGTGGTGCTGGGAGTCTTCTGGGTGAAAGCACAGAGCAGACTAAAACCACAGACAACCTGTCTGCTTGGAGGAGAAGTAGTCCCTGCCATAGAGTCCTGGAGTGCTTTGGGGTCAAGAGACCTTTCAAGGCCATCCAGTCCAACCCTCCTGCAGGGAGCAGGAGGACAGGACATCCCCAGCTAGAGCAGGTTGCTCAGAGCCCCAGCCAACCTCACCTGGAATAGTTCCAGGGATGGGGCATCCACCATCTCTCTGGGCAGCCTGGGCCAGGGTCTCACCACCCTCAGTGCCAAACATTTCTTCCTGCTCGCTAGCCTAGCTCTCCCTCTTCTAGTTTCAAGCCATCCCCCCTTGTCCTGTCCCAACAGGCCCTGCTCAAAATTCTGCCCCCAGCTTTCTACCAGGCCCCCTTGAAGTCCTGAAAAGCCACCAGCCAGCCCAACTCTCTCCTGCTGGGCTCCCAGCAGAGGGGTTCCCCCCTCGGGTCATTGCTGGGGCTCCTCTGGCCCCGCTCCAGCAGGTCCCTGTCTCTGCTGTGCTGAGGACTCCAGAGCTGCCCCAGCACTGCAGGGGGGTCTCCCCAGAGCAGGGCAGAGGGGCAGGATCCCC